CTCTCTCTCTCTCTCTCTTTCTTTCTACGTTTTCTTCTTTTTTATTTTTTTTCTTTTACTAGTTTGGCGTTGTTGTTGTTGTTGTAGGTCGTTGTTTTCGTCGCGTTCTTGAGGCGAGGAAACGAAAAAAAAGAAAGTAGGAGGAAACACACAGTCTGGAAAGGAAAAAAAGAAAAGGAAAAGAAAAGAATGTTAGGAACAACTCGTTCTTGTCTCAATACATTCCTTACAAAATCGGTGGCCGCTGCTCCTATTACGGCAATTCGTACTGGACCAAAATGGTGGGCAGAACCGGAACGCATGGTGCGACACAAAATTATGTACTTTACACTGGGAATTGATCAACTTCCACTTCGCCGTACGGCTATTATTCAGAAGGATTTACATCGATTCCATATGTGTAAACCGCCGATGCGAGTGGGAGACACAACAGGATATAAACGTTCCCGAGCCGCACAACTTACCACATGGTATAGACGAATTCAATATCAGGAGTATCACATGCAACATCTTTTTACTCGTCATGTTTGGGGTCTGTTGCGGGTTTACCCCGGCAACACCACGAAAATACAGGGCAAAGCGGATGATGGTTATGTTGGATACGATTCTGTACCTTATCACCGTTATAATCGTTCCCCACTGCCCTTCCCAGCTCGTGAAATTTATGAGCGAAGGAAGTAGCGACAAGATTTTTTTTCTTTTTCTTTTTTGAGGAAAAAAAAAAAAAAAAACGGGCCAACACAGCGGCAGGAGGAGGAGGAGGAGGGGACGACGACATGACGCGAGGAACGCGAGAAATCATTCGAAACATTTTATAATTACGGACCACGCGTGGGTATTTTTATATCACCGTCATCGATCAGACCGTGGAAATTCTTTGTTTTTTCTTTTTTTTCTTTGGTTTTCTTGCTTGTTCTGTTTCCTTTTTTTCGTTTTTCCTTAATTTTTGTGTTTTTGTTTTTCCGGGCGGCCCGTTCTGCCGATTTGTTTTTTCTCTTTCGTTTGCCCTCCCTCCGAGCGGGGCAGGGCGAAAACAAAAAAAAAAAAAAACACCTCCTCTTCCTTTTCCTCTTTTTTTTAGGAGCTTGTGAAAAGAATATGCGTCCGGTTTTGGTCTACCAAAATTTTTGGGTTTGAGTTATGTTTTACTTTCCCTCTCTCTTGGGTTTGTTTGTAGTCAAAGAGCCTCGGTTTTAATCGAATAGAAAGGATCTAAGATTTGGTTTTTCTTTTTAAGTTTAAGGATTGCAAGTATGGCTTTGATCCCTTACTCTTTTGAGCAGTGGGAACAGCTCGGGAGGAGCTTGGAAAGTCATGTTCGCCAACATGGACCTACTACGGTAAGTTTCGCTGTGGTGAATGGGGATTCCGTAACACGTTGCGAAGCCCGTGCCACATGTTCTGACCGTGGCCATCGTTTTGGAGGATGGTGGCACATGGAAAGTTTGGTATGATTCCTCCTTTTTCAATCGGGTTGCAGATATGCACACCCCGGAGGTACCTCA